TTTATTTTTGTCTCCACCCATCTCGTTAAAAAGCGACTCTGGGCGGTTTACAGAGAAGGTAAAATCAATTAAAATGCAATATGAAAACAATCTTAAATCAATAATAAATAAATTCCAAGAATTGATGGAACTGGCGAGTAACTCGGGAGCGTCATCAGGGTGCCAGACACCCCCAGGATTGATTAGAGCTCTTATCACCCCAGGCAAGCTGGCAGAGCCAGGTCTTAAGTCCTTTCCAGGAAGCCGGGAGGGTAGGGGCCCGCCGCACCTCTTGAGGGAGAATATTCCAAAGGGCGTTTGGAATATTCCAATGTTGCTCATCCATCACCCACGACCAGACTATGAAGTGCTACCACACCGTTCCTGCCCAACCCGACAGAGCCGAGCCCCGCAGCTTTCAGTGGGGCTGAGTTCCAGGGTCTGCCGCCTGCAGCTTGATCCGGCGTCTGCCATCTTGGGCTGCCGCGCCAGATGGCCACCCCTGGTGACCCCGTACCGGAATGAAGGGCTGCGGAGACTCATGGATGGAAACGATGTGGGTGATATTGTTCTTGCTCAGCTGATCAAGGTCTTTGGCATCTAGCAGAAAATGGGGGAGGAACACAGAGCGATTGTTAGAGCCCTCCTTCTCCCTCTGGGCCAAACGCTCAGCCCGCCCTGGTGTCCTGAAGCAGGGAGGGCAATAAACAAACAAAATTACCTAATGCTGCTTCCTGAAATCCTAATTCCGAGCACAGCGCATACTTTGAAACACAGAGCCCCCTCGGCTGACGTCCGCCAGAACAAACCTGCTGTTTATTCCAGCTGTGGCTGACTCTCCAGAGCCTTGAAGAGCCTTTGTCCTCCTTCCAACTCACCATCTGGGACCCTTTTAACGAAACAATCACCCTAATATTTGTGCTCCCCAGATTCAGCCCAAGGGACCTCAGAAGGACTTGCAAATATGTTGAAGCAGAAGAGCTGTCACAGAAGGCTTTTCATCCTTGGAGCCCACATCCGCACCCAAGCATAGTTCACAGGCTGCAATTTCCCAGGTATTTTGCGATAAGCATATGTTATGCGATCAACACCTAGCATTACAGACGCGCCGATTCATTTGCTTTGCTTATTTTATCCTTTCTTAGAGGCTGAAATAAATGCGCTGGAAAACAGACACGACCAAACCGAAAGCAGAGGCCGTGAGCTTGCGCTGCGTTGATTGGTCTGCTTTCTGTGATGTCACCAAGAGCCCTCCCCTCCAACCCCTTTGAAAATTGACAATCTAAGTGACCAGGGGATAGACAATCGCAGTTTTTCTCTCCTGGGACCCTTCAGATATATTGGGGCTACAGCTCCCTGAATCTCCTCCCACTGGGGGCCCTGCTGCTGCCCCCCCCCCCCGCTTAATGACACCCTCCAAGATTAGTAGGACTTTGTCATCTTTTTAATCAGTGTTTTTCAAACTTGGCAACTTCAGGATGGGTGGACTTCAACTCCAAGGAGGCTGTCATACTGAATCTTGCACTGGGGGGTTGGACTAGGTGACCTCCAACATCCCTGCCATTTATGATTCAGATTCCCCAATAAGTGGGATTTGGGGAGCCACCGAGGTAGAGAACTCATGGTGCTGGATAGGCAGAACTCCCAGGGTGAACCACACAGTGCACCAGGCGTCTGGACTGTCCACCAGTCTCTGTTTGTGGACACAGAGTGGCTTATGTCCCCCGAGACGCCAAAGCGACCTGCCCCAAAGCTGTGCAGGTTCCTCAGTCACCCTCACACCCGTTTCTACGTATTTCTGGCTGCTCCCGTGCCTGGGTTTTCAAAGTGATGGGTGCGTTTGTGTGTGTCTGGGCAATGTTCTTTAACAGTTCTTAGAAGTCCGGCTGGGAGAGCGCCCAGATCATTTTTCAGCCACGGCAGAACAGCTGGCAGTGACCCAACTTGGATAAGCCCCCCCCCCCCATGATGCACACTTGATGCCCTTTCCAGAGCAAATGCTGAGGCCAGCAGAATTGCACACCTGTCAGCAGGCTGAGCACGAGGAAGTGGCCATCGCATTAATCTACTCCTGTGTAGCCTGTGGAAAAGCCTCCAGGATGGGACGGTTCCTCACTGACCCCCCTCCGCTATCCCCCCTCCCACGTTACTCCTGGCCACAGCTCCATGCTTTTGCCATCTACCTGGCAGGTGGAACTATCAAGGTTTCTGCCTACTGGGTGTGGGTTCAAGCTTTGCCAAGCCGGGAAAATGCCAACCGCTCATCACCGCTTGATTCACCAATTCTGTAGCAGTTTTGCACTTCACTCACCTATGATGTTTCCAAGAAACAGTCCAGGGAGAATCTGTAAGATTCAAGAAAAAAAAATAGTGTACATATTTTTATGATGATTGCTCCACAACAGCCCTGTAAGATAGGTTGGGCTGGGAGGGGGACCTGGCCCAGAATCCCCCAGGAAGCTTCCATGGCGGGGTCGGGGGGGCTGGAACCTGGGTGTCCCCACTCCTGGTCCAGGGTTTTCCCCACTAACCGCCGCCCCCCCCCGTCATTTTGCTATACTACAAACGCTACATTGGCATTTCCTGGGTGTTGTGTTTAGTTCAACTTCTCTACCACCTGGTGCCATAAGCTCATTCCTGTCTCCCTCTCTGCACTGCAACCCCTTCCCCCCTCCAACTGCCCCCCCACCTTATGCCAAGGTCACCATCTTCCCCCTTCCTACTTCCCCACCCATGTGGCTGCCTTGTTCAAACGCAGCTCCTCATGTCTTGGAAAAAGCCATAAAGCTGTAAAGCTGGGATGTTCAACCCCGACCTGTGGTCCAATACTTTGTATTTAACCCTCCCCCTATTTTTTACTTTAGCAACCAGCTGAAGAGAGTGGTGTTGGTGCAATATTTGGCAGGATTCACACAACACCCTAGTGTGGGCTACAAGGGAGGTGATCAAGTTGTGATTCATCGCACTGTAGAAAGCCAACCACTGTCAGCCTCTTGGGCATTGCAATAAATCTTAATATAGTTTATTTCTTTAGGCCTAAAATGCCACATGGAGCCCACACTTGGGCTTGCTAACCCAGTTTAGAGCTTAACATGTTGTGCAAAGCCAGCCAACCTGGAGCAAGAGAAAAAATAGTGCATTTCAGAGTGACAGACCCAAAGTCACCCAGCTGCTTCCATGCCCAAGGCAGGGTTAGAACTCACGGCCTCCTGATCGCTCATCCAGCACCTTCACCGCTAAACCCCCAAAGTGACTCGAAAGGGAACACCGCGCGCAAGACCGCATCGACGTGAGCCAGACCTTGTTCATGCCGTTGCCCATGATGCAAGGTGACCGCAGCCGCTGGGAAAGGAGACAGATGTCCTGGGCACAGGTCTCTCCTCTTTATCCCGAAGTCCAGTGATAGCCACTTCACTGGGCAGTGCCACGGTCAAGATTTACACCTCCAGCCGGCAGCCTCTTTCCTGTCCTTGGACCGTCCCCAAAAGCGCTCTCAATGTGACAGCTGCGTATTTCGTTGCAAAGAATAAATCTGCAGATGCTGCTGCTACACGTTCTCCTCCTCCTCCTCCAGGAAAAGATTCCTTCCTCGCCGGGTCAAAGAACCTGCTCCTAAAAATGCCATCTCTGGGGCCTTTTCTGGGCTAGCAGGCGGGCGGCCGGGGAAAACCCCACCTCGCTGGAAGCGGGGTGGGAGCGCCCTGGCCCAGCCACGTGGCCGTTGCTGCTGCATAACGCACGCTGCTGTGCGCAGAGAATGAACTCTTTTGTCTCCCTGCTCACAGACCAGCCAGGGCTGCTAAGGCCAGCTGTGTCTTCCTGGCGCCATGCCTTGGCACCAGGGCGGGGACGTGCCCCAGCCCGCCCCTGCTCAGCAAAGCAGCCCCCCCAGTTCCGGGAGGTCCCCGGCTTTGGAGGAGAGGTTCCTCGGGCCCAGCCACAGAATGGGTGAAAACAGCAGGCCCAGAACGAGCAACGCAAAGGAGAAGGCAGGGAGGGGGTCCTTCTGGGGCTGCAAAGGGTGATTCATTCCAACGAGCGTCAGGGGAGAGGAAGAGGCCGGGGAATACAATGTTCCCGAGCGAGTGGAATGTGCAAAGTCGGCGCTGTGGGGGCCGGTTAAACCCTTGGATGTCACCTCCCCAAAATAGAGTCTGCAGGATCAAGGCCACCTTGGCCCGCAGTGGAGGGTGGGGGGGAACAGGTTCCCTTGCAGCCACCGGCCCTTTGAATTGGTTTGGCAATAGGAACAGTGACAGGCGTAGCAGAGAATCAAGTCATCCTTTTATTTCATTCCTCTCACCCATTTTCTTCCTTGGGGGACAGGGGCAGCAGAAGAAAAGTGTCGGGGGGGCACATTTGGGCACACGAGGTCAAGTCAGTCAGGGGTAGAGCTGATGGACATAAAAAGGCCGTTCCACCTCCAGCCGCAAGGCTGCCACCCTCCCCCCTGCGCGCCTGCTGGCCGGGGGTCCTGGCGGAGCTCCATCCCAAACGTTCCGGGGGACCCTGACCCTCCTCTTCTCCTTCTCCAGACCGTTCCAGGAGCCCCCTCCCAGGAATCTCCACGGACAGGCCCCCGCCACGGAGCGCCCAGCTTTCTGCCCAGTTGTCTTCCGCCGCCTCCGCAGCTGACTTGGGGGGTCTGATCCCAGGGCTCTAGCCTCGCCAGGGCCATGGAACGAGCCTTGGCGTGCTGGCTGGGGAATTCGGGGAGTCGGAGTCCCCGCGCCCTAAAGGTGCGCGCTGTAGGAAGGCG